AGATGTGCCGTCTTATTAATATTTAATGTACCGCCAAACTCTCTACAAATGTCGTCATCGCTTGGGTTATCCCAAAGAGCGATTTATAGGTCAGGTTTCCACTGTTGACTATCCTGTTATGTTTAGATACAGCGCATGAACTTAGGCATGGCATAGTAGATGTTTTACGGCGCTATGGAATAGAAATGACAGTTACGGCGTTAGCGAGGGCCTTGTTTTGATATAATATTTGACTAGTATTTGTTTCTGGCGTCTTTTATTTGATTATTGTGGGTGTTTTACGTCATAGAACATTAAAAAACATTTTGGGCGGCACTGCACGACCGTGCTCTATGGACGAACCGCGCCTGGTCGCATTGCTTGCATGTCATTGACGTGGATCGAAGCTCTGTATTTCCACGACTTTCCTTTCGTCGTTGGCGTTTCTTAGCCTGGTTGTTTCTAAGACTGCTCTCTAGCATTATAGTTCTTTCCTTTATCATTTTCTTCCATGTTTCCTGTCCTCAGCTATTTTTCCCCAGATGCTGATGTCTACTCCAAGCTTTTTTAAGCCAAGGAACATACCTTATAACAATAACAAAAAATAGAATCCACTTGGAGTGGTTGGTTGCGTTTTGGATTAAGAATATCTTGTCGTAGTTGTTTCATTTGCGAAGAATCCAGTATACATGTAGAAGCGTACAAAATATGTCTGAAAATAAAGGGTGTCATAAGGACGAGATTGGCGAGTTTCTGGAAATGGCTTACTTTTTTTTCAAAAATTCATGTTAGGCTAAATGTTTATCCTTACAACTAAATTACATTACAGCAATTTTGTTTTGAAAAAAGGACAGCATTTATTGAAGCACACAGTTGATCAGACTACTGAAGTCAATTCTTCACGCTTATCTCATCTGACTTTATCAAATTAATACTGAAAAAGAAGGGAATATTTCAAGTCTAGCTTCAACTTCATATATAGCATGATCATATCTCTTGAGAGGTTGTTTCTATTTCATCTTTAGATTGTAGCAAAAGAATTCGCTTATTGAGTGTATGTGTGTGTGTGTGTGTGTGTGTGTGTGTGTGTGTGTGTGTATGTGTGTATGTTTGTGTGTGTGTGTGTGTGTGAAGGTGTGTGTATGTGTGTGTGATTGTATATAAGAAAAATGAGAAAGAGGAAAACGATGGAAGTGTTAGAGAAAAAGAGAGATAGCGAGAGGGATACGAGAGAGAGAGAGAGAGAGAGAGAGAGAG